ATCTTATGTTATCCATGCTGTCAAGTTCTAAATCTAGAGATATTATCATTAACTAAGTTTAACTCCTCATTACATAAAATTTAATAGTTTAACTGAAAGTTTATATTTTCTGGTCAAACATTTATATGGATTTTTTAATCCATTCAAAATTTTAGTACGGTCAAACCTCTCTATAATCGTCTCGTTTGTTCCGATATTTTTTGGCTGTGTCACGACCGAAAACTAACCCTGTCATGATGGCGCCTATCGTGGTACTAGGCAAGCCGACACATTACCAAAACAAATCGATATTTTCTTTTCAAAGATAATTCCAAAGCTATTTAGTATAAAACCTTCATAAAGGAGTTCACATAAAAACAAAAGTACGGAAAAGAAAGCCCGACATCGGGGTTTCACTAGTCATGAGCATCTACTACAACTGTCTGACAATATCAAAACCAACATAGTCTGGAAATAACTGAATACAACAAAGGAAAAATAAAGAGGGAGGAAAGCAGGGCTGCGATCGCCGGGCAGCTACCTTGCTAACTCCTATAGATCTGCAACTGAATAATCGACACCCGATATTGTGTCCAGAAATACCTGGATCTGCACATAAGGTGCAAGGAGTAACGTGAGTATGCCAACTCAGTAAGTAACAACAATAAATAAAGGCTGAGAAGTAGTGACGAGCAATAATGCAAGTAAAGTTCATATCCCAGAAACTCAGTAAAATACGACACGCTTTTAAAATATAGTTTGAATCAAGTCACCTTGTTTAAATCCAATTCCAGTAAAATCATTTGAAAACATTTTTTCAACAGTTTTCGAACAAAGGTTAAAAGCAAAAGTGAGTAAAATGATGAAATCATAAACATCCCCTCGGACAAACAACACTCGTATACAGCCCCTCGAGCAAACCTTACCATCACTCATATACAGCCCCTCGGGCAAACCTCACCATCACTTATATACAGCCTCTCGGGCAAACCTCACCATCACTCACGCCTCCCAATCACTCAGCACTCGGCACTCGCACTCAGTCGGTACCTGCGCTCATTAGGGGTGTGCAGACTCTGGAGGGGCTCCTTCAGCCCAAGCGCTATAACAAGCCAATCATGGTATAAATCAATCAGGCCCTCGGCCTCACACAGTCATAAATTAATAAAACATGTTGCGGCGTGCAGTCCGATTCCATAAATATCCTCACAATCAGGCCCCCGGACTCAGTCATCAATCTCTCCAGCTCTGGGGCTCTCAGAAAGAAAACAAAGTACTCAGCCCAAACAACATTTATACGATGCATCAAAATAGAGTAATAGAGACTGAGTTATGCAGTAAATAAGTATAAACATGACCGAGTATAGATTTCCAATCGAAAATAATGAGAGGATAGCAAGAAAAGACCTCTAAGGGTCCAAACAACACTGGCATAAGGCCTAAACATGGCATCCAACCTGATTTGCAGAAATTCTTGCTAAAACACGTAGGAAGCATGGAGTTTCAACAAAATATTCAACTTTACAGTTGATACGCGACGGACCAAGTCACAATCCCCAACGGTGCACGCCTATACGCCCGTCACCTAGCATGTGCATCACCTCAATATAGTCACATGACATAAAATCCGGTATTTCATACCCTCAGGACTAGATTTACAATCGTTACGTACCTCAACCCGATCAAATCTCTACTCCGCATCCCTCTTGCCCCTCGATTCGGCCTCCAAATGCTCCGAATCTATTCGCAACCAGCATAATACCATCAATATATGCTAAAGAAATGAATTCCACAAGGAAAACTACCAAATTAGACCAAGAACCCGAAATCGGCTCAAACCCGGGCCCGAGCCCACGTCTCGAAATCCGACAAAAATTACAAAACTTGAAAGCCCATTCACTCACGAGTCCATACATATAAAATTTATCGAAGTTCGACTCCATTTGGTCCCTCAAAATCCCCAAATCAAGCTCTCCAAAATTCTAAGCCCTAACCCCTAATTTTCCCCCCTAATTACCACTAATTAATTGATAAAACAACGGGAAAATATCATAGATAGGAGTATTAGAGCTCATGCAATACATCTCACTGAAAAACCCTTGAATCTCCCTTCAAAATCACTCCAAAAGCTCCAAAAACCGGCTTGAAAATGGTGGAAATGAACCAAAATTTGCGAAGTGTGCTATTTATACTTTATGCCCAGGTCTTTCGCACCTGCGGCCATATATCCGCTCCTACGGAACCGCACCTTCGGTCATCACCTCACACCTGCGAAAACCACTTAAGTTCTCAAAGCCGCACCTGCGCCGCAGGTTTTGCACATGCAGGCGCGCACCTGCGCACATCCTTCCATTTCTGCGGAACTGGCCATTCTCCCTTCTTCCACATTTGCGCCCCAGGTCTCGCACCTGCGGGCTCGTAGATGCGACCAATCCTTCGCATCTGCGGCTCTAGCCCTAGCCTTCCTCTTCCGCATCTGCGACTGCCCAAGAGCACCTGCGACCTCGCACCTGCAGCTCCCCATCCGCATGTGCGAAAACACCAGCAACCTCAAACCACCCGCAGCAACAACTATCTCCCAACACAAAAAATCAATCCGTTAACCACCCGAAACTCACCTGAGGCCCTCGGAACCTCAACCAATCATGCCAACAAGTCATATATCAACATACTGACTTAGTCGAACCTTCGGAACACTCAAAACAACATCAAAACACTAAATTATCCTCGGATTCAAGCCTAAGAACTTCTAAACTTCCAAATTTCGCAAACGACGCCGAAGCCTATCAAATCACATCTGAATGACCTCAAATTTTACACACACGTCAAAAATGACTCCACAAACCTATTCCAACTTCCGTAAATCCATTCCGACCCCGATATCAAAATTTTCCACTGCCGACCGGAATTGCCAAATTTCCAACTTTCGCCAATTCAAGCCAAATTCTACTACGGACCTCCAAATCACATTCCGGACGTGCTCTCAAGTCCAAAATCACCTAATGGAGCTAACGGAACCATAAAAATCACATCCGAGGTCGTTTACACATAAGTTAACATCCGGTCAACTTTTCCAACTTAAACCTTCTAGCTGGGAATCATTCTTCTAAATAAATTTCGAATACCCTGAAAAACCAAAATCGACGATTCACATAAGTCATAATACATCATACGGAGTTACTTATGCCCTCAAACAGCCGAGCGAAGTGCAAATGCTCAAAACAACCGGTTGGGTCGTTACAGGCTGTTATAGTGAAGTGTTGTTATAGAGGACATATATTATAGCATAACATAATAATCGGTTCCGAGAAAAATTTAGCTTTTATAGTAAATAACTGTTATATGAGGATATTGTTATAGAGAGGCCTGACTGTACTCCTTTTAATAAGTTCATCTTAACCTTATGTGTGGATGTTCTTCTTACTATTGTACTAATGTTTCTATGTAACAAAAGCTGGTCTTTCCCATATATGTTTTATAAAATTTAATGCTTTTATCAGATACTGGAAGACAATTGGAGAAGTATTACCTAAGTGTTATGTGATAGAAGAATATTTATCAAAGTGAAAAATAAATTCTACAAAAACAATTATTAGACCAACATTGTTGTGAATGTGAATACTGGGTCCTATAAGGCCAACATATTTACTAGATGAACATTGCAGAAGTGCATATGTAATTAAGAATATGCGGTTACAAAATTTCAATCTTAACTAATAATATTATTCAAAAGATAAGGTTACGGTTTTTGACAGATAATATATATATTTGACCAAGTGATAATGAATGTGAGCAGTAATAACAGTATTCCATGATCCAAAAAAATGGAAGATGGCATTAAATAATAATAAATAGCAATGAATGCCATTTAAGTAAATAAAAGTGTGAGTCACTTGAAATGGTATGAGATCCGTGGATATTCTTTCTGACAATGAAGAATAATTGATGAACCTTAGAACACTCGGGTTTTCTTGGATCAAGTGGAAAAGCTAGACAAGAATCTTATAAGTAAAAAAGTTATTTTCGTATGCTTGTAATATGGTCAGATTCTCTTTATAAAGTCAATGTGTTCTCTTACAAGTGAATATCTCCCCTATCATTGCGTCTCTTTCTATTTATAGGGAACAAGTTCTAAAAACCCTAATAGTACATGTACAGAGAATATCCACTAGAATATTCTCTTTTGTATCCTATATTAAAATTAGTCGTTAACTCTGTTTAAGATGCTCGACCTCGACTTTGATCTATGATGACTTCACGACCTTAATCTTTGCTGACTCTTTGACAAACTGTTCTTCCCTTCGAGGGTACTTCATCCTGGCGCAGATTTTTGTTGAGACCTTAATAATAGCACGTGGTGACAAGTGAAGGTTATCATGATGCTGACGTGGCTTGCCTATATCAAAATCATTTTTTGGCCCATACAACAAGATTAACAATGATCGCATGCGGTAGAAGGTACAAATAATACAATAAAGGATAAAATAATAGACGACATTGGTCATATATTCATCTTCGTCCTCCAAATAATACACCTTCCATAGTGGGACGAGCTTAAATTAGACGACATGAATAGGAAGAATTCGTCTAGAAGACATTTTATCAGAGGCGGATCTAAAATTTCAACTTTATGGGTTTTGGATTTTAGAACAACGACTTTAAGTACTAATAGCTGGATTCTAAATTCAATATTTTATACATATTTAATGAATTTTTTAACATAAATATACCATTTGAGTAAAAACGATTGTGTTTAGCTGAACCCGTACTCGAGCTTCTACCTCCGCCCCCGCACTCAACCACTGCACTCAACACATTTGTTGCAACTGTACAATGAAAAGTAAAATTTCTATCCGCAAGTTACTACTCAATTCCTTTGTTAGTTCAATTTCAAACGAGATAGCAAATTGGCTTTTATGAACTAGAATTATATAAATAGGTCTCAAAGTCTTATCTCAAGAAGCCTAGAATGAGTAAAATAGCAAATGGAATACTCTAACATAGAGTGGAAAACTCAAGGATACCCAAACATAGCTCATCAAAATAACATACCAACATACATAACTAAATAAGTAATTTAATGGTGCAAAGAGAGGCCAATCAATATCGATAATCATCATCAAAGATCATGTAGTTATTCCTCCTGCTTCTTGCATCTCTATCAGCCTGCTAAACCAACACTAAATTCAAATTCAAAATACATGTATAGGCAAAGTATACTACACAAAAATCCCTTCTGTTTTAAACTTAAGACCATATTTGGATTATTGGAAGACAAAGAAGGGGGAGGGGCGGATGTAGCTTTTTAACAACAAGTTAGCATAGACAAATTCACTTTCTTCGACTCGAAGTATATATATAATGAAATTCTTTTATATGCTTAGGGGTAAAGTGCTCTCTAACAAATGTGACTATACCCCGGACTCGAGTTCGACATCTTTGGTTAAGGATGAATGAGTACTTACCTTGGTAAGGAAACATCAATATTAATATATGTAAAATTAAATTTACCTTGGCTATAAGCCTTTCAAATGCTTGTGGTCCGTGTTCTTCAATATATTTCTCAGCAGCAGTTAAGACATCATCTGGCTTACTAAAAATGTCTTTTTTCAGAGGAACATACCATATTTTGACTTGTGGATTTCTATAAAAAGGTCTTATGAAATTCTCATAAACATAGGAAGCTCCATTGAAATAAGGTAGAACTAGCCAACATATTGCAGCTAGCTTAGCATATGACCATATTGGAAACCTGAATTAAGAACACACCAATAATTAATGTTTACAAAAGGAAATTCTACTCAATCAAGCCGTAAAAACAGCTTCTTATAAGGTAAAATTGTGTACAGAAGCTTTGTGCACCGAGCTGCAGTTGCTTATAACAATGTGCCTGCTTGTGATCTCGTGAATTCTACTATTTTTCTTTTAATTTTTTTTAAGTGTCGTGAAAATGTGATTCATTTATAGGATACAAAGTAGTAACAGTTATATTGAGTTTTTTTCCCGAAGCGTACTATACTGGAATTAAAACTTCTAGATCTCTGCACTTGAATCATTTTTGTTTCACCTTTTCCAAACTAATGTATTTAGGTCAAAGTTGTTTTCCTTTTTTTTTTTCCTTTTTTTTTTGCTTAATGTTTTTTATTTTATGTTCTTTTAAATATAAAGAAAGGGCAAAGCACTATGATTCACGAACAAGGCCTTTTTATCTGAAGAGCAGAAAATGTATCATTTTATTTAGCTAGCTATATATCTTAAAAGAATTAATTTATATACACGTAGACAATGTAACAAAACTATCAATGTCTCTAAAACATTTTCTAGATTATTAATCTAACTTTTTATGGACAATTGCCTATAAATAATTTTTAGATAATCTGATAGCGTACATATTATATAGAAGTTAAAACTCATCTTGAGAACATAATATACTCAACTCATTAAAACATGTCACGAACTTAACATATTAGTAACACTATAGTAAATTTCTTTTCCTAAAATCGGAAGTATTTTAATATATATATGCCAGAAACTGCAGAAGTAAATTGAGAAGTGAAGCTTACCACTCAATGGCCTTAGAAAAGGTAAGCTCAAAGAGAGTAATCAAAGAATAAAGAACCCAATAAGTTAGCCATTGCCGATCATCTGCTCGAGACTTTGTCTCTATTGCCTTAATTGAAGCATACCTGCCAAATATATTCCCCATTATTCAACAAAAATCAGCCAGAAAAAAAAAAAAAATTAATGTCAACTAAAAGAAAACCCCATTTTTACCTATATTACCTAAAGAAAATAAAAAGAACAGACTATGCCATTAACTTTACTAAGGTCAGACCGATGCACAAATGTAGGGTACGGGGAAGGGTCGTAACTAAGATTGTGATATAGACAGCCTACCATAATGCCATTAACTTTACTGTAGAGAAGAAGAGATTTGTAAATTAACTTACAGAGGGTAAACAAGAGAGACTAGAGGCCTGGAGGAACAAAAAATTAAATAATGTCAAATCTTGAATATATTTTGCTTGCAATTACTAAACAAAATTACTTGGCATAAAATTAAACACATGTTATTATTACAATACATATACATGAAGAGAGAAGGCTTACAAAGCAAGAACATCAATATTCTTGGCTATTACAGCAAGAACATTGTTGTCTGAACCCATGTTTGATACTCTTAACTAAGAAACACTATTAGAAAGAGGTCAGAGAATGAATGTGAAAAACACAAGGGAAAACCTCTGTTGATAATGTAAATGCATGGACTTTATACGGAAAGGAGTCAAAAAGGTAAGTGGAAAAAAGAGTGATTTAAGGAAAGTACGAAAAAAAGTGATTGAAAACAGTGAGTAAATTTTTCTAAGAAGCATCTTATGCTTCACGAATATTGAGGCACCGAAATATGGCAACTTCATCTGTGTGTGTGTGTGGGGATTCGTACTCATTTTAAAGCAAGTTAAATTTTTTTGGCCATTTTAACGAAAGTCTATAATATAGCTGTTCTTAAAAATAATAGCAGATAAATAATAAAGAAAATGAACTTTTGATTAACTCAATCCCAAAAGTTAGCTCATAAGTTGAGGATTGCCTAAGGCAAGGTAAATGGCCTCCCACACCCACCGATGTGAGACTCAACACCTCCCCTCATGCCCATGCCTGTAAATTGGAGCGTGGACAACAAAAATGGAGGTCCAACATCAATAACGATAAATTGGGACGAGCCTGACTCTGATATCATAATAAACGCTAAAATTTGCACCTTCACTAAGCATATTCAGAGGAGCTCTATGCTTCTTTAATGACGGAAGTTTCTAGAGCAGAGAAACAGAGAAGAAGCAGATATTTTGTGAAATGATTCTTATCTCATTCTCATTTGGTTACACTATATTAATATTAAAAACACTAACTAACTATTAACTTATGAGCTGGTACACTTAAAACTAACAGCTAACAGTAGAGTTGCCACGTTGAATACTTGATCACACAATACTCCCCTTCAAGCTGGAGGGTGTAACACATTCATCACATCAAGCTTGCCAAAAAGATGGACATGCTGAGCTTGACAGAGGTTATTGGTCAGCAGTTCAACAATTGATCTTTGGAATGCACATAGATAATTTTTACCACCCTTGCTTTGATTTTGTCTCGGATGAAATGGAAATCGATCTCAATGTGTTTTGTGCGCTCATGGAAAATGGGATTGACATCCAATTGGATGGCAGATTTGCTATCACATAACACCAAGACTGAAGTTTTGATGGCAACTCCCAGTTCTTGAAACAGTCCCAGTAACCAGGTGACAACTGCCACAGTTGAAGCCATACTTCTATACTCAGCTTCAGTTAAGTTTCTTGACACAGTCTCCTGCTTCTTGGACTTTTACGAAATGAGAGAGTCACCAAACTTGACCACATAACCTGTGACAGACCTTCTCGTATTAGGACATGCTACCCAATCTGAGTCACACCAACATTGCAACTCCTCTACAAGGCCAGACCTCAACCAAATTCCCTGGCCCGGGGCATTTCTTAAGTATCTAACCACCCTAAGAGCAGCCTCCCAATGAGACTTCTTAGGTTATTGTATGAACTAGCTTAAGGTGTGGATGACATAGCTAATGTTAGGCATTGTTGTAGTTACATACATCAATCAACCTTCCCAACATCATCTAGAGGCAAATCATTGTACATCATCCAGAGTGATTGTTGGCTTAGCGCCACTGAGTCCCATCTCAGAGATGAGTTCTAGGACATACTTTCTCTGGTTCAATATAACCCTAGCCTTAGACCATAGAATTTCAATGCCCAAGAATTATTTGAGCTCACCTAGATCCTTCGGTTTGAACTTCTGGTGCGACACCTGCTTTGCCTCAATAATCAATTGATCAATGCTTTTTGTGATAAGCAAGTCATCGACATAAACTAAAATGATCACTATGCCTTCTGGCATTTTCAAGGTAAAAAAAGAGTAATCATGATTGCTCTGGATGAAGCCTGCTTCCACTAGTGCATCAGACAACTTGATATTTCATTGTCTTGATGCCTTCTTGAGCCCATATAAAGATTTGAGCAACTTGCACACCTTCTGCACTCCTGTTTCCTAAAACCTTTAGGCACGTCCATGTAGACATCTTCACAAAGGTCACTTGAGAGAATGTATTGTACATATCCATCTGGTACAAATGCCAACACTTTGATACTACAAGAGCTGTTACTGATCTCACAGTCACCATCTTTACCACATGGGAGAAAGTGTCATGATAATCAAGGCCTTCCTATTGGATACAACCTTTTGCAACTAGCCTAGTCTTAAACCTTTCAATGTACTAATTTGCTTGATACTTTATTTTATATACCTATTTTGATCCCACGGTGTGTTTACTTGGTGGTAGATCTACAGTCTCTCAGGTTTTTTTATCTCCATAACTTTGATCTCCTGCTTCATTGGTTCAAGCCACCTAACATCCTTTGTAGCTTGTTTAAAGGTTTTAAGTTCAACCAGTGCAGAGAACTTAGCCAAGTAACTTTGATATTTTGGTTTGATACTGTTACAGCAGAGGTAGTTATGTGATAGGATACCTGATAGTTCCTTTATGAAATGTAACATAATCCTTCCACAAAATAGGCTGTATGGAATTCCTAGAAGGTTTTTTTCAGTGGAACATGAGTACCATATGGGGCCATATCTTGAATGGAAATTTGAGTACCTTCTGTGGGCATAACATAAATGTCATTTTCTGATAGAGAGCCTTCTTGCAAACCACCATCTTCCTCTTCACTCTCTCTAGTTGCATTGTCCAATACATGCACTTCCTGGTTTTGATCTAGTGCCTGCAAGTTTTCTGTAGATCCTATAGGTGTTTCAGAAGAAGATGTGTTGATATCAAACATGGAAGTACCAAAGTCATCAACAAGAATTTCAGTAGAAGTTGAGGATTGTTGCGGTATTGCAAAAGGAAATATGGACTCCTTGAATACCACATCTCTACTCTTAAACAGTTGCCTGGTGGCCAGCTCCAGCAGAAGATACTCCTTCTGCCTCTCTGAATACCCCATCAAGACTCATGTCTTTGCTCTTTCAACAAACTTATCTTCTTTAGGAACCACTAAGGCAAAACATAAATAACCTACCACTCTCAAGTGAGCTAGGAATGGAGGCTTGGCATACAACATTTCATAATGACTTTTTCCTTTGATAGCTGTGGATGACAACCTGTTTATCAGGTATACTGTACTGGTCACACATATGCCCAAGTATCTGATGGGCATTTTAGATTGCAACCTCAATGCTATTGCTACATCCAAGATGTGCCTGTGTGTTCTCTCCACAACTAATTTTATGAAATATCCCGAAGCTCTACAACAATTCATTACACTAAGAGTTGAAGAACTCTGTGCCATTGTCAGATCTTAAGACCTTTACCATCACTCCAAACTGATTCTTAATCATTGACAAGAAAGTTTTAATTGTAACAATAGCTTTAGATTTAAGTTATAACAAGTGACCCCATATATATCTACTGAAGTCATCCACAATAGTATGAAAGTAGTATTTCTTGTCAAAAGTAGAAATCTTATAAGGACCTCATAAATTCATATGGACAAGATCAAAAAATGTTGCTCTTGAACACTAGTAGGAAACAACAACCTGGTTTGTTTAGCTAAAGGACACACTGGACAATTATTCAGCAGCTTACTATTTACAATACTTCCTAACCAATTCATACTCTTCATAGCTGGAGCTGAGGGATGACCAAGTCTCTGGTGCCATGGCCTGTAATTTTCCTTAATTATAGTTGTTGGTGCTACATTACAACTTCTAGTATCATTATTACGGTTGCCTTCGATAATGTACATGCCACTTGTCTCTTTACCAATCCCCTTCATCCTGCCACTGTAAAGATTCTGAAAGAGAACAAAGTCAGGGAAGAAGTTCACTGAGCATTTGAGTTCTCTTGTTAGTTTGGACACTGATAGGAGGTTAAATTTGAAGTCTGGTACAAATAAAAAATTCTGTATGACTCTAGTACCAAATAATGATGCATGGCCAAAATGAGAAATAGGAATCCTAAGCCCTGTAAGAAAATGTACTGTATCCCTAGGTATCTTCTTAGTATGATCATTTGATAATAGGTCCTTAGATGCAGCTATGTGATGTGTGGAACCTGATCCACAATCCACTCATTTGTGGCATGTTTGGACATGAAACACGTTGTAATACCTGTCATATCGGTTTGACTTTCAGTTGCATCCTTTTTCAGTAGGCCTAAGATCTGCCTGTATTATTCTTCTGTGAAGAATTGTCCCTTTCCAGCAAAAGCAGCCTGCAAGTCACATCTAGAAGAACATTAAGCCCGAGCACCTATATTACCTACATCACGAAAGACATTATTGACAATATTGAAGGGTTGATGAGTTCCTCGACCAAATTGTCCTTCTGAACCACCATTACCACGACCAAACTGTCCAGTATTAGTGTGATTCAATTTCTTCTTTCCTTTAAAATTTTCAGGATATCCAATGAGTTTATTGCAATTTTCCTTGTCGTGGCCCTTGTAACCACAGTGACACATTGCTGAAAGTTTTTTTTTTAAAATTTATAACCTTTACCTCGACCGACTTGCATAGCTAATGGTTCATTCTTATCATTCATTGCACCCATACTAGGGCATTGTCGAGATTAATCTTCAATTTCTATTTCATAGGCTTGATTGATAGAAGGAACATTTAATTTCATGAGAATCTGTCTTCTAGCTTGATCATAAGAGTTATTCGATCCATTACGAAATTGCAACAATCTCTGTTGTTCTAGATGTTCAACATAGTCCTTTGAACTGGGCTTAGGTCCATAACATCTTATTCATTCCAAAAATCCTTCAGTTTTGCAAAAAAACTTGAGACATAATATGTACCTTGTGAGAGAGTCGCAATCGCTCTGTGTACTTGAAAAATTCTCATACGATTCATCTTATCAAATCTCTTCTTTAAATCTTCCCATACAAGGGTGCGCATTCGAAGCATACACGTTTCCACAAAGGAGTTCTGTAGATATTGTGTTCATAAGCCACGAGAGAACAATTACATTGCAAGTCTCCCATTGGTCCTGTAACTCTACTTTACATGATTCCTTTGTGTAGGTACCATTCACAAACCCTTTCCGCTTCCCTAACAGAGCAACTTTTGTCGTCCTACTTCATAACCTGTAATTCTCAGACCGTGTGAGCTTCACAGGAATTAAAACGATGCTTGGAGTGTCTGATGGACCATGATATAGTTGGTGTGCATACGGTATTGTTGATTCCACCAGGAACCAATCTCTTATTCAAAAATAAAGAGAATTGAAAACCGAAAAATGTCGAAGAATCAGCTGACAATTGAGAATCTATCTGGCTCGTACCCGCTCTGATACCATGCTGAAATATGCACCTTCACTGAGCAGATTCAGAGGAGCTATATGATTCTCCAACGGCGGAAACTTCTAGAGTAGAGCAATAGAGAAAAAGCAGATATTTTGTGAAATGATTCTCATCTCATTCTCAGTCGGTTACATTGTATTTATACTGTACAAAGCACTAACTTGCTAACTATTAACTTATGAGCTGACACACTTAAAACTAACAGCTAACAATAGAGCTGCCACGTTGGATACGTGATCACACAATAACAAAAAAAAATGGAGCTTGGGCCTAGCTCAACCCCAAAAGCTAGCTCATGAGGTGAGAATTTTATATATATATATATATATATAAAATACTTTTTGGCTAACAAATATAATTAATTTAAGTCGGACATTATATTTAGTTCTTTATAATAATATTAGTAAAAGATGTCGATCACGGTCTATAGTTATTTGGAAATAGTAGCTCAATTTATTGACTCACCTGGTTCTGTAATACGGACAGTGGCGGAGTCACTTTATCCTAAGGAGTGCCAACTGACATCCCTTCTTTCAATAATTTTTTTTTGGTAATTAAAAATCTTTTATTTACCAATAATATTTACAATGCTTTGCTCAGGCCTAATCTGGACATAAGCCCCAGATTCTTTCAATAAATTATACTGTGTAATTATATATATATATATTGACTCCTCTTGATTTCTTCATATATAACTCTTTATATTTTGACACCTCTTGGTGAAAATCTTAGGTTCGCCACTGAACGCAGGAAAATAATTCAATTAGTGGCCAAACATAGTGGCCTCAAAATGGATCATTTGTGAAAATTCGCTATTATTTATATCAAATCAAATACTACTAAAATATAACAATTAAAAATTAAAGTAACAATAAATACTATTTAATTATGGTTTTGGCCTCTCTGGAGCCAATTCATGAATTCACCCTTGAAAAAATAATTTTGGAACAATTTGAGAGAAGCCCGCAGTAGTAAAAATTACGTGGGGTAGCCACTTTTTGAAGTGGTATTTACTTTTTATCTAGCATTTTTAATGCTGGGCAAAATTAGCCACTCGTCTATTAAAATTAATATGAAAAGGCGCTGTTACCCTTTCTTCTATCTCTTGACCCGCCTTGCCCAGCACATCTTTTTTGCTTCAGCGTCAAAAGTCTTTGCTCTTTGTTCCTTTTCTCCTCCTCGAGATCGACCAGGTGAGCTCATCTCAGTAGCCAACCCAGTTCCCTCTCTCTCTCTCTCTTTCTTGGGGATTAGGTGACGGACTATACAATTCAACATCGACAAATGAGAGAAACTGCACTCTTAAGAAATCTCAAGCTTTTCTATCTGGTTTGCTACTTGGTTTGTCGTTTATGTTTTCTTTGGTCTAGAACAGACTCTAAAGTAGAGTCTTAATTAGTAGCAATTAAAAAAAGAAATAAGGTAAACAAGAGATCTTAATTAAGAACCAGAAGTTTCCTAAATTTCAAAATGAAAGTTAAGGACAATAGGTCCTGAACTTACAGTTACAAGTTTAAAAGTTAAGGACAATAGGGCCCGAAGTCCTGAACTTAGACTAACAAGTTCAAAAGTTAAGGACAATAGGTCCTGAACTTAGGCTAAGAAGCCCAAAAGTTAAGGACAATAGGTCCTGAACTTAGACTAACAAGCTCAAAAGTTAAGGACACTTGGTACTGAACTTAAAGTTACAAGTTCAAAAGTTAAGGACACTTGGTCCTGAACTTAGACTAACAAGCTCAAAAGTTAAGGACAATAGGTCCTGAAGTTAGACTTACAAGTTCAAAAGTTAAGGATAAGCAGTCCTTAACTTAGAGATA